CTGGGGCCTCAGACAGAGGAGTGAAGCTGGAACCATCAGGGAACATGAGTGAATTTTGGCACAAACTGGGCTGCTGTGTGGTAGAGAAACCCCAGCCGGTGAGTCTCCCCACCCCCACCCTAACCCAAGAGCAGTCAGTTACCGTGTGCAGTGGGTGAGGTAGCCACACCATCTAGGCTCTGCCATCTAAAAAGCACACTTCTTGCCTTCCTCTCTCAGGAGCTTCTGTGGTCAGGCAGCTGTGTATGTGGAACAAAGGGGACTGGGTGATGGAATAAGTGAATAGTCATAGCTGTTATCTCTTGTTCTGTCCATTCTGAGCTGGGCGGGGTTTGTGGGTAGAGCTGCATACCTGCCACTCTCCCCCATTGTTTCGTCATCAGTCAGAGGTGACTTTGACATGTCCTTTCGTCGTCCAGTGTTAACTCTGCAGGTCACTGCCCTCACCACCCTGGTCTGTGGCTTCTGTGCGCTGACGTTGTTCCAGCTTTGCCTTTCAGGCCCTGTGATCTCCCTGTTACAATGCCACATCCCCTCTTCCCACCAGGCCCTTAGCTTTTTAGTGGTTTTCAAGACTCTTTTCCTTTCCTCCATGCTGACCGGAGGAGGGGCCTTCAGACATGACTCCTTATCTTCTCCAAGCAGAAGAAGAAGAGAAGACGGATTGACCGGACCATGATTGGGGAACCAATGAATTTTGTCCACCTGACTCACATTGGCTCTGGGGAGATGGGAGCCGGAGATGGACTTGCCATGGTAACAAGGGAATGGGGAGAGGTTGATACGGGGGTGAGGTCTATAACTGTTCCCTCTTTTTGAAAGTTCAAGCTAGGGACATATGAAAATACTCAATGGGGAAGTAAAAACCTGGGATTCTAGTCTTGGTCACCAGTTGTGGACACTCGAGACCTGGCATTTTAGGTGTCTGGGCTTAGGTTCTCTCATCTTTACAACTTAGCAAATTGTTCTTCACTGGGGTAGGGAATATATATATCTTAATAGTGGGAGGACTTTTTCCAAAAACTCTAATCCTCTCTTCTCCTAATTAAGAACTGCTATCTTGGCCAGGCTTGGTGGCTCCTGCCTGTAATCCCAGCACTTTGGGAGGCCGAGGCGGGCGGATCATGAGACGAGATCGACACCAGCCTGGCCAACATGGTGAAACCCTGTCTCTACTAAAAATACAAAAATTAGCTGGGCGTGGTGGTGCACACCTGTAGTCCCAGTTGTTTGGGAGTCTAAGGCAGGAGAATCACTTGAACCCAGGAGGCAGAGGTTGCAGTGAACTGAGATCACCCCACTGCACTCCAGCCTGGTGACAGAGCAAGACTCTGTCTCAAAAAAAAAAAGAACTGCTATCTCAGCTGGGCATGGTGGCTCACACCTGTAATCTCAGCACTTTGGGAAGCCAAGGTGGGGAGATCACGAGGTCAGGAGTTTGAGACTAGCCTGGCCAACATGGTGAAATCCCGTCTCTACTAAAATTACAAAAATTAGCTAGGCATGGTGGTGGGTGCCTGTAGTCCCAGCTAGTCAGGAAGCTGAGGCAGGAGAATCGCTTGAACCTGGGAGGTGGGGGTCGCAGTAAGCCGAGACCGCCATTGCACTCCAGCCTGAGCAACAGAGCAAGACTCCTTCTCAAAAAACAAAAAAAAAAACAGCTATCTTGGTACTACAGTATATGTATGTGTATATATATATCTATATGGTTAGGAGTGTTGGGACAGGGAAAAAGCTGAGTACCTTTGTCCTAAATAATGTCTAAGATGTACTTCTGTTCCCAAAATAAGGGAAATGGGTCTAGAGATATAGTCTCTTCCTTGATCCTGAAACTCATATATATAGGGGAGAATCCATTGTGAGGGAATGTTATTAGTAAAAAATCCATTTTACCTCATCCTCATGAAGGCTAGTGTGAAAGGAGGCATTGAGACTCCCCTAGGAGGAATGGCGGTTAGTAGGCAGCTGCTATTGTCAAGGAGATGGCATCAACCTCTTCCCTGGAGGGCACGAAATAGAATTCTTACTGTGGGATATGAAGACTTAGGAAGGTGTCTCACATCTGTTTTTTCACAGACAGGGGCAGTTCAGGAGCAGATGAGATCCAAGGGAAACCGAGATAGGCCATGGAGCAATTCTAGGGGCTTATAGCTCCAATAATGGAATGGTGAGTGATTAGAGGAACCAACCCAACACCTCACCCCCATAACAATACAATCTGATACCCTGACTCAGAGCCCTGATCTTCTCACGCAAGAATGGGAGGTGTGGCCAGGCACAGTGGCTCATGCCTGTAATCTCAGCATTTTGGGAGGCTGAGGTGGGTGGATCACTTGAGGCCAGGAGTTCAAGACCAGACTGGCCAACGATACAAAACCCTATCTCTACCAAAAAATACAAAAATTAGCTGGGCACAGTGGTGTGCACCTGTAGTCCCAGCTATTTAGAAGGCTGAGGCATGAGAATCGCTTGAACCTGTGAGGCAGAGGTTACAGCGAGCTAAGGTCACACCACTGCACTCCAGCGTGTGTGACAGAATGAGACTCTGCCTCAAAAAATAAATAAAAAACAAAAAAGGAATGGGAGGTAGGGAGGAATTAGAAGGGAAGATTCAAGCATGTAGGATCTAGGCCAGGTGTGGTGGCTCGCACCTGTAATCCCAGCACTTTGGGAGGCCGAAGTGAGCAGATGCTTGAGGTCAGGAGTTTGAGACCAGCCTGGCAAACATGGTGAAACCCTGTCTCTACTAAAAACACAAAAATTAGTTGGGCATGATGGCACGTGCATGTAATCCCAGTTACTCTGGCAGCTGAGGCACAAAAATCACTTGAACCTGGGAAGGGGAGGTTACAGTGAGCCGAGATCGTTCCACTGCCCTCCATCCTGGGCGACAGAGCAAGACTCCATCTCAAAAAAAAGAAAAGAAAAAAAAAAGTCAGATATAGAAAGACCAAGAGGGTGTTGTACAGACAGAAGTGTGAAGAACACAGTGTACTAGGTGGTGCCTTCTTCCTAAAGCCTTGGTTTTCTATAAGGCTAATCATCTTTAAGAAAAACTTTTTCTTTTTTTTAATTTCAGGTTCTGCCATCTTGAAACCCCCATTCTGTGTCCAGCCCAGAAGAAATGCTGCCCCCACCAGGTCCCTCCTTGAACCAGTGATCTAAGGGCCCCTCTTTTCCCTATCTGCCTAACAGTGCCTCACAGGGTTTGGGGGCTGGACTCCCTCTTCTCCCTCTGGCTATAGCCCCTCCTGGAGATGGGGTCAAGGCAGCAGGACTGACCAAGTGACTACTGGTTAGCCAGAGGAGCTCAGCTGAAGCCCTGGACACCCTCAGATCTGAGATAGGAGTTCTCTGGGAACCTGGAATGAGTTCCTGTCTCCTGGATGATGGTCTGGTAGCTACCTGTTTTTAAACTCTGAACCTGGAATTCCTTAAATAGGGTAGGTGGAGGAGATTATCAAAGCTGAAGCTGGCTTTGCTGAGAAGCTCCCTACCTCCCTGCCCTTCTCTTTCCTCCTGGAATGAACTAATGCAGATGTCAAGCAAGGGCTGGTGGGGGTGCCTACTCCCTTTTCCACTCTGTATCTTTAGATTTCAAACCTTAAGCTCACAGCCCCTCAATATCTCTCCGTTAATACCAGTGTCTCATTCTCTAATTAGGCCTTTAATCCTCTGTTTCTGTTGACTAGCTTCCCGGCAACTTTTCTTTTTAAAAATATTAAAACTTTAATTCAGGTTCTCTTAATTATCCCCATCCTGCTGTTGCCTCTGCCCTTAACTCTATCCCTATTAGAAACCTTATTGTTTCCCACAGAGTAAGAGTTAAGAGGGAGCTCTTCATGTGATGACGTTCCATTTAAGTCTTGGGGCATCTGTCCTGCCCTCTGCCCACCTCCCTGCTGGCCCGGGTGAGAGGAGGAAGAGGGGTCTGGAGAGAAACCCACAAGGTGGCAGAACTAGGAGTTATGTCTCAAGGTGGACTTCTGATCATTGAGGATGGTAAGATAAATAGGTTGAAAACAACCATCTGTGAGTTTAGGAGTCTGAAGATCCTCACAGCACAGGAGCAGGGAGAGGCTCTAGAACAAGGTTTCACAACCGAGATGCCTTTGACATTTTGGGTTGAAGAGTTCTTTGTAAGGGAGACCTGTTTCCTGTTTTGTGCATTACATCATTACAGGGTGTTTAGCAGCATCCCTGGCCCACCGTAGTTACGACAACCAAAAATGTCTCTATACGTTGCTAAATTTCTCCTAGGGGGCAAAATCACCTCCATTTGAGAACCACAGCTCTAAAGTCAAGATGTTTTTCTCTTAAGTGATTTCTGCTTGGCACGCTACCCTCATCATGTTACTCATCTTAAGCCTGAGCCATGGATGAACTAGGACCCCATATAAATTAGGTTCAATAGAGCTGCACATAATCTCCAAACAATTCTCTATTCAGTGTTTTGCCTGTGCTCGCATGTCGCTATGGACAGGTACCATGCTCCTCCGTTCTCCCACTCTGAAGAAGTGGTTCCTGCAGTGTAGAGACATGAACAGGGTATGGTAGGACTGGGGAAAGGGGAGACAGAAGCAGTAGATACACTCCTTATCCTCGCCAAATTTTAAGCCCTATTTCTGTGCCCTAGTCCTAGATCCAGACACACATTAGACTCAGGGAGTTTTGTCTGAAGACCAGGTCCCACTGCCCCCCAGCTGAAGAGTTGGCTTTAGATGGGAAAACAACGCAGGAGCAGGGGTCTTTAGGCACTTTCAGTATTCTCAGGTGTTCGTTCTGGCCCTTCCAGGGTAATTAGGAAGGCAGAACAAGACAGATGAGCTCCTTCCTGCTCTGAGACAAGAAGGCTGGGGTCTCATTAGCTTTGTGACAGGAAACATCCTGTTTTATGGTAGTGGGTTCAGGAATGTAGGAACTGGTATCCATTCTGCCAATTCCACCACCCATTCAGTGTGCTTCCACCTACAGAACAGTGACTGAGGTTCTATTTTTTTCCCTCAAATTTCCATGTATTTTCTGCCATTTTTCAGGGTCTAAGATTGGTCATACATTCCCAGTTTACTCTCAGTTCTAGTCAAGCTAGTTGCTCTGAAAGTAACCCAACTTGTTGCCCTAAAATAGCTCAGTAGCTTGAGTGTTATACTAGAGATCTAGAGGGTTAACAGGATAGGTAGAAAGACTGGAGACTCCTGGAATCTCTGGATTCATTCAGCCTCATTCTAATACCTCTTCTTTGGACACAGTCTTTTTCCTTTGGTGCTCTCTTGCCTTTAGCTACCTTCTCTAATATGTATGCTACCATCGCTAATAAAGTGATGGGAATGGGTTTGAGAGTCATAATTTATATTAAAAAGTTGTTGGACTTTTAAATACATTTTTCAAATAAAAAATTTAAGCAAAATAGTTGCAGAGTAATCATTGCAGGTGTGTGCTGGATTAAAGGATGGATATGGCTGATGAAGATAATACCTCAAAAGTGGCTGAGATGGAATTTTATACCAACATTGCCCTTTTGAGGAGAGAGGGCTAAGCATTATGAAAGCAAGACCACTGCCATCTTTCAAGGGCTCGGCTCCTTGTTCTTCCTACTCCCTTTTCTTAGCGTTTATTTGAGATTTTTCAAGTCTGTAAAAGAAGTACTTGTTTTAAAACAATGTTGGAAATGAGGAAAATGAGCAATATCAACATTTTATCCTAAGAGACAGGGAGTAGAAACAAGGCAGAGGCTGCTAATTACACAGTTCAGTCTTAGGGATGAAGAGATTTATGTCTCTCCTCCCTCAGGTACCTCTGTGGAAAAAAAAAAAAAAACCCACAAGACCAAACAATGTATTTTCCAGTTTTGTTTTCTGTACTCAAAATATCTAGTGGGTGCTAGGATTGAAAGGGCAAGAGAGGTTGACATGCTGACACCTCCTCTGTGGATGAAGTGGCCATTACCTCTGGTTTCTGTCTATCTGGGTAAGGAAAAAGAGAAAAAGGGAAATTACAACCACATCTATATTCTTTTCCTTGCTTCATCTCCCCCTCCCACAAACCCATCTCAACCTTACTGCCCCCCGCCCCCACTTATTTTGTATCAGTAGTGGTACTGGATACACAAGGAGGAAAAAAACAAAATGACCAAGTATATGCTTTGTTTATCGCCTTTCCTTCCTCAAAGTCCTGTCATCTGTAACAAGTCAACCAGAACCTTTGGGAGTTCGTGGTAATGCAGAGGACAGTTCTCCCGGATGCTAGTGCTGACGAGGGTCAATAGTTAACTAATACAGCTTAACAGTAACAACAGCCAAAATCTGAGATCTTACTATGTGCACTTTACCTCAATCAATCTTCACACCCTATGAAGTATTATTATTCCTGCTTTTCAGATGAAGAAACAGGTTTACAAAGCTAGTAAGTGGCAGAGCCACAAGATTTAAACCAGGTTTGACTAAAAAAAA